AATGAACATATACGTGGTACTTAGGGCATTTGCGAGTGAACAACTATGTCTGCACTAGGCGTACATACGCATAAATAAAATCAGTGTATAAAATACAGCCACACATATACGCCCTTCTGATACCCAAGCCCATGCTCACGGGAGTATAACCTAGCGTAGTGAGCAGGCCTGTCTACCTCGCAATCAAAAACCATTACTGCACAAACAGAGCAACGGCCCTCATTTACCGGAAGTGAAGGAGCCCCTGGTTACGGCGGCGATCAGGATCGCTCCAGAGCAGAGGGTGCTAAGAATCCCCGGCTAAGAACAGGCCACTCCACATTGATGATCCTTAGCACATATAATAAATGGGCAATGACTATGGAACCCGACTTACTAGCATTACTTGAGGAACTCTCTTTCATTAAATGAGATGTTGTAGGACTAAGCGAAGAACAGAAGATATTGAATGACGTACACGTGCTTTATTGGTGGGGTAAACCCCAGTGTAGCATGCAAGAATTAGGGGTAGGTTTCTTAGTTCACAAACGTTTAGATAAGAATATCGAAGAATTCTACAGTATAAACCAAGGGGTGGCTTCAGTAACAATATAACTAAACAACAGGTACAACTTAAAGATTGTTCAAGTCTCTGCTCCAACATACAGCCACAGTAATGAAAAAATAGAAAGCTTCTATGAAGATGTTCATTTACCCAGCGAATGAGAGGGGACAAATACTAATCGATTTTGCGGAGGCCCGATAACTCAATATCATGAATACATTCTTCGAAAAAAGACTAGAGCGGAAGTGGACATGGAAGTCGCCATCTGACATCAAAAACGAAATAGACTACAAAATTTCAAATAAGCACGATATAGTAAAAAATGTGGAGGTTATTAATGAAGTAAATGTTGGCAGCGATCATAGATTGCTCAGAGGTCAAATTGAATTACAATTACAGAACGACTGAATTTAACCTTAACATCCAAAACAGATATTCACTTCTCACGAAGATCTAAACATTGACCAAATCAACAAACAGTTCAATGACATAATAAAGAAAGTTGCACTTGAAATAGGCGGTAAGAATGCCAAACAAAGCTCCAGTAAGCTGTCGATAGAAACTAAAGAACTTATGCAAAAACGTAGGGTCATGAAAGTAATAGAATTAGGTGAACTATCAAAGATTATAAATAAAAAGAAGAGAGAAAATATACGGAAATTCAGTTCTCAAATGATAAATAAAACAATAATACCAGAATGAAAACATGAGACTTCGAATAGATGCAAGAGAAATTGCAGCAGTGAAACTAGCCAATTTTTTTAACAAATGCCTTCTCAACGGAAGAACACCGAAAACCTGGAAAAATGCAACAATTATTGAAAAGGGGGACAAAAAGGATCTAAAAAACTATGAGCTACAAACTGTTTACTAAAATCACAACCCGCATCCCTGACAGTCTGGATTCTAACCAGCCTTTAGAACAGGCAGGCTTTCGCAGTAAATTCTCAACAGCAGACCACGTCCACACACTCATAAGAGAAAAAAATAAACTTGTTTACAACATGCTTGAGGAAATATTCAAGAAGCTAGAATGGACCGGAAAGGGTATCAAAGTAGGGGACGAATACCTAAACAATCTAAGATCTGTAGATGATATTTTCCTCTTCTGTGAATATGCAAATGCAATGCAGTAACTACTAAATAATCTGAATAGAGAAAGACTGAAAGTCAGACTTTCGATATACAGACACAGATATATAGATAGATAGATAGATGTGTGTATATATATATATATATATATATATATATATATATATATATATATATATATATATATATATATATATATATATACATCTACACACAAACACACACACACATATATATATGTGTGTGTGTGTGTGTGTATTCATATATATTCATATATGTATGTCACATATATAAATATATATACATATACATATATATACATATGTTTATCTATATATATGTGTGTGTATATATATATATATATATATATATATATATATATATATATATATATATATATATATATACATATATATATATATATATATATATAGTATATACATATATGTTCGTAAATCTTTATTTCTTCATATATATATATATATATATATATATATATATATATATATATATATATATATATATATATATATATATATATATATAAATATCATATCTCTATATACTAATATATATACATATATATATAATATTTATATATATACTAATATATACTTATATATCATATTCACATATTTACTTTTATATATATATATATATATATATATATATATATATATATATATATATATATATATATATATATATATATATATATATATATGCATATATATACATATATATATATATATATATATATATATATATATATATATATATATATATATATATATATATATATATATATGTATATATATATATATATATATATATATATATATATATATATATATATATATATAT